GCAATGAAAACGTCAGTGTGAATGATGAAATTTCGCGCTCTTTTTCACGTTCGTAACCTTGCCGTCCATATTGGGAGTCATTCTTTTAAACTGTTGACAGCTTTAGCGCCGTGCTCCTTTGGTTTTTCGAGATTTGGAAAAATTGGTCAGCCCCACCCAAGCACACCGGCGTCTCTAATGTTTTTTCCCGAATTTGAAATTTTTGAAAAATCACAAATGAGGGGTCGCATTGAAAACAGATGTGTCGACAGAGTTTAGTCCCTAGAGTAAGCAATTTTCGGGAAAATTGTCCGTAATGCGACCCAGCCCTAAAGCCCTGAAAGAAGTATTGACTCATCTTTCACTTACATAACCAAGTTTCAAATTAATTTACCATCTTCATTTACATCATCATCGCGCAAAAGCATCACATCCTACATTCCTATTCTTGCATTATGCAAAACGTTTGCCACCATCGACCTAGTTAAACGGCTTAGCCCATCACGAGTCGCCCAAGTCTCAATGTATGGTAGAGCATCCGAAGTACTGATCGGAAGGTCGTACGTTCGACTCCTATTCGGAGCGCTCGGAGTTCTTTTTCGCCGATTATGCTATCTCATTCACTGAGTAACACCATCTTTTATGTTGATTTATTAGTCAGCGGAATCGTTTAAATCTGAAATGAGAGCTATGTAGCTGGCTCCAATTAAACTACACAGAAACTCATACCATGCCGCATCCAAATTAAGACCTTCACTTAAAATGTTATAAGGACATGCTTTGATTTCTACCACTCTTCACTTACCAGGAATAGCCGGGGTAACAGCGGCAATAGACTGGGCTTTAAAAAGCAAGAATAGATATGAATGACGGTGCTAAGTATTGAATTTCATAACCACTAAGTATTATTCTTAAAAATGCATAATTACATTGAGAAAGGCTGACAAACCTGTTGCATTTTCAGGCTTAGACATGAGAAATATTTCGTGGATTGTTCATCCAATTTTCTTAAGACTATTATTTCTTTAGTAATTTAATAATTGAAGAATACAGACATCTAGAAATAGTAGAGCATATTCGAATAATCTTACACATGCATATCAGTTCCTCCTCTGTACGGAAAAACCACAAAAATCAATTGGAGTGGAACAGCTGAAACTAGTCTATGTTAAAGTAAAAGGTACTCACAGGGTGTAGGTGCGATATTAGTTGAGTGAAGAGCTGAAAACAAAATAAATGAACATTCATTGAAAAGGGTGCGTGCATAGAACAATTTCAATTCTATCGAACAAAACTGAATTATATTATTGATGGCATCATTCTGTCAACCACAAACATGGTACCTTTAATTTAAATGTAACTTACATTTCCTCATAAACGAATACAATCTGCAAGGTTTCTTCAATGATTTAACTGCTCGGAGAGATGCAAGCTTCATTTATTCAGCTATTGACGGATTAATCGACCGATTCATGGATTGGTTAAATGATTGACTGGGATTTCTAGCCTTCCTCTTTTAATGCAGGCTAATAACTTTACTACTTTTCGAAATTTGATAATTACTTGACAAACTGAAGGTTTAAAAAGAAATTACATTTGGGCGAGCAAACTGTTCAGAAAAATACGGCAAATATCTGGATAGATAAGTGTAACTCATTAGGAAGATAGCGTTTGGTCCATGTTTTACAGTGACCGTTTATTTGTATTCACGTTGACTGGATAATTGTCTGGAAAGTTCACGCTAGCAAAGGATCCTCATATTATATAAGGCATAGATGTAAGACCCTGAAAGAAGCATTGACTCATCTTTCACTTACATAACCAAGTTTCAAATTAATTTACCATCTTCATTTACATCATCATTGCGCAAAAGCATCTCATCCTACATTCCTATTCTTGCATTATGCAAGACGTCTGGCACCATCGACCTAATTAAACGGCTTAGCCCATCACGAGTCTACCAGGTCTCAATGTATGGTAGAGCATCCGAAATACGTTCGACTCCTATTCGGAGCACTCGGAGTTCTTTTTCTCCGATTATGCTGTCTCGTTCACTGAGTAACACCATCTTTTATGTTGATTTATTAGTCAGCGGAATCGTTTAAATCTGAACCGAGAGCTGGCTCCAATTAAACTAAATAGAAATTCATACTATGCTGCATCCAAATTAAGACCTTCACTTAAAATGTTATAAGGACATGCTTTGATTTCTACCACTCGTCACTTACCAGGAATAGCCGGGGTAACAGCGGCAATAGACTGGGCTTTAAAAAGCAAGAATAGATATGAATGACGGTGCTAAGTTTTGAATTTCATAACCACTAAGTATTATTCTTAAAAATGCATAATTACATTGAGAAAGGCTGACAAACCTGTTGCTTTTTTTAGGCTTAGACATGAGAAATATTTCGTGGATTGTTCATCCAATTTTCTTAAGACCAATATTTCTTTAGTAATTTAATCATGGAGGAATAAAGAAATCTAGAAATAGTAGAGGGTCTTCGAATTAATCTTACACATGCATTTCAGTTCCTCCTGTGTAAAGAGAAATTAAAAAAAATCAATCGGAGTAGAAAAACTGGACTCATACTTGGTGTAGACGTATACGTCACACTATTGTTTTCTTATTTCTGGTTGTGATGAAATTCTATTGTGACGTATACTGTGTCTTCTACACCAAGTAAGAGCCAAAAACTGAAACTAAATTTATGTTAAAGGAAAAGGTACTCACAAAGTGTATGTGTGATATTAGTTGAGTTAAGAGCTGAAAACAAAATAAATGAACATTCATTGAAAATGTGTGCATGGAACAATCTTATTTCTATCGAACAAAATTGAATTATATTTTTGATGGCATCATTTTGTCAACCACAAGCATAGTGCCTTTAATTTAAATGTAACTTACATTTCCTCATAAACGAATATAATCTTCGAGGTTTCTTCAGTGATTTAATTGCTCGGAGAGATGCAAGCTTAATTTATTCAGGTATTGACGGATTAATTGACCGATTCATTGATTGGTTGGATGACTGACTGGGATTTCTAGCCTTCCTTTTTAAATGCAGGCGAATAACTTTACCACTTGAACAGAGAAATGTTTTCGCAACAATCCTACTTCTTACTTGTATTGAGCGGATAAAGGCACATCGGCTATCTCCAATGAACTCTCTCGTTATACGTTCTGATTCTCTAACCCTCCTTCTAGTCTCTATCCTACGCTTTGTTTGCCTTTACGTTCCTTTTTGTGTGTCAGTCTATGGTCAGTCTGTCCATTTGTCCCTGTTTGTCCATTTGAACGTGTTTTCTGTTCTTCTTTACGTTTCTCTCTCAACCATTCGTCTATCTGCCTGATATTTGTGTGTCTCTTGCAACTGTCTCTCTTTCTGTCTGTTATTTTTCTTACCTCCACTATTACCACAATAACGAAGGTAACAAGTTGGCGTGGGCCCAAGCTCGTACACGTAGAAACCGCTACAGTTACGAACGCGAATGTTGGCAGACCACAAGCAACAATCATATCCCCAATGGAAACACACTTTAGCATGGACAATTCCATCAGTTGCTCGCGGGTGCGAGCCATTCAACCAACCCGGTGCATGGGTGCCACATCGATTTTTTCCTACACAGGACGTAGGCATCTCTGTTCCCGCTGCACCACCAAATCGATACCATCCCAACGGTAACAAGTTGTCACATCGGAAATATCCGTAGTAGCCGTTATAGTAACCCATCCTTCTTTCTACCTCTGTCAGGTATGAGTAATTATAGCATTCTGAGTGCAAAAGAGGAAAACAAATTGATAAAGAGAAAAGGGACAACCACATCAAAAATAGGGTGCACTACTAATTTTTAACATGGCCAAACGATGTTCAAAGCCTTAAAAGTCGTTATCACACAAAAAGGCTTTAAAGCAAGTCAATTGTGCATCGCTGTTTGTTGAACTCTGCAAAAAGCCGAAAAATAGTTTTAGTTTTCACTTTCCATTCGACCAAGGTCGGTAAGGTTTCACGGTAGAAGCAATCTAAAACTCTTAGCCTTACCTGAAAGAGCTGGTAGCATGACTGACGCCATTGAAGATATGGCAGTTGCTTTATCCAAAAAGGAAATAGAAGAAAATACTTTTATTACTCCTATGGTTGAATAGAAAATATATTGGGCTCTTTTGAACGCTGCCGGAAGACGTATGTACAATTTCTTAAAGAGAATTTGAAAACATTTATAATATAATGAAATCCAACAACAGCATTTACAAAAAAGACAAAATTAAAGAGAAAATAATGAAATACCTGGAGAAGGTGATATCTTGGTAGCAGACGAGGTAGATTTGTTACCTGAAGAAGGAAAATGATAATCGCGTAAAAGCTTGGAAGTATACTTCGACCAGGAATTATGCTGAGACAAATGTTAGTAACATGCAGTTATGTGATTTTGTCAATCTGCCTCTCTGATTATGTCCTTCCCATGTATAAGTCGAATTTAATTAGATCTGTTCGTAACTAAATCCTTTTAAGTGCCTGTTTTGAAAGTCTTACCGCAGTTTCTCTATCTGTCTTACCTTCAGCAGTAGAAGAAGTGGTGGGAATAATAAAGGAAATACTAGCGCTAGTTGTGTTGGTCGTGGTAGTAAAATGAGTAAAATTAGTGGTAGAAGAAGTGGTACTGGAGGTGGTCATAGTAGTGATAACAGTATAGCGGCAAGGTGGTTGTGATGTTAGTGAAAGTGGCAGTTGTATAAGTAGGGGTTAGTGGTAATGGTAAGGACAGAAACAAGATATATACCATTGAAAGTAGTTTTTGTGCTCGAATAGACGTCTGTAAATGGAAATAAACACCACAAGAAGTTCCCAGGAGGAATTATCATTTAATCGATATGACTCCTTTGCTCAGGGAAGAAAGCGTTTGACACATCGACTGTCACCTCTTAGTAACATTTTATTGAGTTAGTGATACACTAAAGGGGTGATGGCTAATGGTTAAAATTTTGGCGATTTTACAGCTAACGCGTACGGTTCATATCATTTCATTTCTGTACGATAAATTTGTTTTTAACGGTGAACATTGTTTACGACTAACGGTTAAAATCTGTCAATTTTTACACCTAACGGGTACATTTTTTTAGGCCGTTTTACAGCTATCGGTTATCCCCATCGAGACCCTCTGTAAAGTCAAGGTTCTAAATTCTGTCGAAATCTTCAGCTATATTGACCATGACAATGAGTTTCAGAGAGATCCAAACTGAAACAAAGGAAATGATGAAACTGAAATTGTGTGATTTTTAGTCGTTTTGCCGGGGAGTGTACAATAATAGTAAATTTTTGGAATGTGAAGATCATCGAGAGAATACAAAATTAAGAAGTTGCACATCGTGCTAACGATCCGAAAACCAGTAAACTTTAATCCGCACTCAACTACTTAGTTTCATGAAAACAAGAAAAGAAAAATATGACTATGGTCGTTCTGTTCGTCAATTTGGTATTTGTGAAGGTAGAAGGGTGGAAAGGAGAAGGGAAAAGGGGAGCAGATGAGCATGTAAACTTAGCGAAAAGATGACAAAAAAATTTTGCTGTGGGCTATCTTTGGCGGATTTGAAGAGGAGGTCAAAGACAAACGAATGGAGAACCATTTTACACCAACCCCTAAAAGAGGAATTCCGAGAAATCAGCTCCTTAGAAACCACTGCAGCAGTATGCCAGGTTCTACTGGAAGAGGATGATGATCTAGTTTTGCGCATGTACAGATGAAATTTTGTTTTCAACTCAGTCACGATTTTAAGATAGATCATGCTCCTAGACAGGGTAAGTCCGCTTCTTCTGATGATCCACATAAATGAATGATAATCGAAACATTATGCGAGAGGCCTTATTTTCCATTACTATTATGATTAGAGTGAGGAAGCATCACAAAAATTATGGTACCAGTAGATTTATATACCCGAATTTTGGGAAAACACGTTGAACCACCAATAAGAACGTTTTGATCGATGATGTCCGCCGCATTCGTCTATATCTGCAAACAGAAAAGAAATTTTCATATGGATAGACTCTCTTTAAAAAAAATACATCTAAACTTGAGTTTATGCTTACATTTAAAATATTGAAATGGTTTACACTATTTGAACTAATATAATTTCTATTTTGAGGCACTTCTTGATCTCATTAAATGTTTGTTTTTTATCTATTTTTCACACTCAAACAGCAGACATCAGAATTTCTGCGCAAAGAATGGTGGAATATTAAAAGTGAACATCGAGACTGAGTTTTGCGACTTTAAAAATTAGGATATCACACGATGATCATCATAATGGAGAGCAATTTCATTCTAAAAAGTCGTCTGGAAAGGGGTAGCACTTATTTCATTAAGTCAATTCCAACAGCGTATCCTTCATGCACGTAAGAATTTCAAGAAAATTATAACAAAACCCATTTAGGCCGAAAACAATCTTTCTCACTACATATTTAAAGGCCTTCTTCTAAAGTTTGTCCTATTAACAGATGGCTTTTACTGCATCGGTTGAGATTGGAGCATGGTTGATGCACCCTCATAACCCATACCGGACCAATGTAAGGCAAAGATATCGGGTACTTGTTCACTAAATACTACAACACCGGACGTACCCTCACACTTTTGAAAACTTGGAGAAACCAGAGCATAACCAAGAGGGCAGACACCATCTACGGGGAAGGCCCAGTCTATGGGTGAGGTTATACCAGGTGTTGGTGGACCATCATTCGAGCAGCCCTGCCCAACTACTGCACCGGGATCTATCAAGATTGCATATGAACCATTCATGCTCAGTGCAGCCTTAGGAGTGGCAAAATGCAGTACTGTGCGGTTACTGTCGATAATAACGTAACCAGAGAGGGCATTCACTTTGAAGACAGTAAAACCATTTGACTGCAGAACCAATCGGATGAATGCTGAGCTACGAGGCTTCTTTATCTGCAAAAAATCAACCTCAATCGTAAATTCAAGTATATTCTACTTTATTTATATATGTTTCCCTAACCTTTTGAATTCCCAAGGTCTGAAAGCTAGGTCTTCCAAAAGATGATTGTAAATTTGTTTTTAATTATTTCCTGGTAACGGGAATCTGGTGTTATATCAGGGTAATATTCCCTCGTCATTAATTAACGTGACTGGTATCCCTTGAAGGCGTGAAATTTATCAAAATACTAATAAGGGCCTACATACAAGTAACTCTTTGAAAGGTAAAGAATAGAGGATTAATTACCACTCTGTTAAAATGAATACTCCACCATGTTAGTCCTGTCCCAATCTCACTTATGGGACTAATTGGCCTTTGTGTACCCAAAATAACATGAGGTGTATTACCTAAAAATAAGTGTATATATATTGCGTCAATAACTAAATGGTACATCGTAATTCAATCGTAGATGAATCACTAACTGACTCAATGGATATGCTTTTATGACAATTTTTGTTTATTGTGATGTTAGGTGATCATTGCCTTTTTATTATTAACATAGATTATATTAATCGTTATTTTTACCATCATGTGTGTTTGTTTGTGTAGTTCTAGTCAGCATTAGAAACAAATGAACCTGCCAACTCCTTAACAATATTAAAGATTAAACAGAGGGAAAGAGAAATTAACAAAGCTCAATTTATCCTAATGTCTCAATAAATTGAAATGTTCCAGAGGGTATAAAATTACTTACTTAGCCCCACAAGGATCGTAATACAACGCCATTCACTTTGTAATCTGTAAATTGTAAGTGACACGAATCATTAATATAAATACACGCCGATTTACACAACATGAACTTTGTTCATACTCCTGTAAATTACTAACGACGTGCTCTAAAGTTGAATTGGCACATATCTGTTTTTGCTCGTACCGGTACTCCAGCACATGTATGTTGTATTAGCATAATGTTGCTCTGGTGCATTTTTAGTTAAGAATACTGCAGACATGAACATCTAACATTCCAATGAAACAACAACAGTGTTATGCTTTGTCGTGAACAGTGATCATTAATTCTTTTTAAAACTTGAAAAAAAAATAGATCTAATTTCAGTTCATCACAATCCAAATTCCAGGTACAAAATCTTTTTTACAACATACGAGACCATCTTACCCGTCTGAATCCAAAGCTTGAAAGCAGAACAACTGCTGCCCAATTTGGTTCTGACTCGGATACCACGTGACATTCCTGAAGAAGATGCCTCCATTGAAGCTTAATGGTGTCAGTTGCATTCCAAGTGGAGAGCTTGTGGTTATCTCGACAATACTAAGAACATTAAGAAAAGAGTCTAGGTTAACAGCGAACATAACATGACAAATAATGTACCTTTGGATATGTTTTAGTATAAACAGTTCATGGATGTAAAAGGCAAACTCAGATGCTCTAAACTTGTAACCTTGAATACTTACTGTTTACTAACGTTTGGAAGCCGCACCTCAATGACTGCTTTGTATACCGACCCAATCTGAATCTCTGAGCATTCACCATTTTGAGGTGTGGAAGCAGTGAAAACAGGTGTGTCCTGGCAAGAACCAGACCCAACTCCTATTATGACAAGAAACTGCAGTGGCACAGCACTGAATGGTCTGATGTTATTGAAGTTTGTGGTTCCAGCTGGAAAGTCTTCCAAAGTTAAGGTTACTACATATGTGCCCGATGCTCCAAGTCCACCTCTGTAAGTTAGAATGCAGTTTTTCTGCAAAGCGGAGTTAGAAAGAACACCTTTATTAGATACATCAGGCAAGTTAAGATTATCCTACCTCTAGGTGCCATGTTGAGATCTCACCAGGATTAACAAGAAAATCGCAGCATAGTCTTTCATCCTTCTTTCTTTCACGTGTTGATGCCATTCATCAAGAATAAGCAGGACTAAATTTCTTTCTCCTCTATGGAACGTTATTTTTTTTCCATATTTTTTGTCACAGAAGTAATGGAAGATTCTTTTAGGGTTTTTATTGGTGATCGTTCTAATTTACAAGGGTTAAAATTTTCTCATATTTTTTTAAAACAAGGGGAAAAAACATAATAAGAGTGTATAAATATACCTCATCAAGTTCACCGTAAGGAAAACTATCACTTGGTATGGAAGACTCGGCGCTAGTTGCCCAACGACATTTCACAAAATCGCCATCTGGATCTTCAACTGGAATTATAAGTGACCTCTGACAGCCCTGTTGAAACCGTACAATAGCTGGGCTCTTAGAGACTGGGGATGAGTTGATTTTGCCGCTATCAGATCGTCTATAGAGACTTATTTTGGTAGATACCGACCATTGTGAATTAGCATATCGCACAAGATTGGAAATCCAACAGCAACTTTGGTATCTGTCGACAAAGCAAGAAGGGGATGTTTTTTAAATACACTGAGACTGCTAAAAGTTAACTTGATTTGGGAAGACAGGCGGCATCACATGAACGAACCTGAACATGTGAAAGTCTTTAACGCGAGTCAGCGAACTTACCAAAAAGTTAACTGGAATGGAAGAAAGGAGTAATCGAGTGACTGAGTATTGAAGCGATGGAAAGAAGAAGAGAATTCCGGGTCATAACTACTACTTGGTGATGGCCTTCAGCCGTTACCATATTCGAAAGATCACCCCAATGTTGAAAGATAATTTTGGTCATTATAAACGGCTCTTGCTTGTTCGAGGCTTTCTGCTGCCTTAAAAGTGAAACATTCTAAAAAAGTCAGTTTTCACGAGTTTCTTTTTCTCTTAATTCACATATTGACCCACCTCACATCCCACTCCAGATTTCCAGACGGAAAAGCGTAGGTGAAGTTATTTTCCCCCATTGACCAGTCTTCATTGCGACTAAAGTCAGTACAACGAAAGCGAGTGTCCGCTATATAATAGTTCAGTGAACACACTGCACTGAAAGGATCGCTGCACTTAGCTTTCCAAGAACCTCCAGATCCAATAATTCCTCCTACGTTAATTGTGTTCTCATCACAGTAATATGACCTAAATGACCTTCGAAGAGCCAGACGGAAGGTAAACCGTACCTGGAAAGTAAATAAAAAGATATACAAAATTTCGGTCTTCTCTGAGACCTTTAAGTAACGAGTACAATTAAATTTGATAGAATCCCATGCACACGTAAACGGAAAGTATTTTACCCTAACTATATTTCAAAATGGCTTCATCATGTTAGATGGTCATGGCCCATTGCCAAGTTAAAAAAAAAAAATAGTGATATCGATGGAACGCAATGATAAAAAAAAATTGAGGAACAGTATTTCCCTCATATAGCTATGCCAAACAGACATCTTAACTGCCACTACACCCGTGGGTGAAGCAGTTCAGGTCCAAGAAGGAAACCCTGTATGTCCTTCTCCATGTTCTGAAGGTTTCTTTAGCCGCTACTCCCTGTACAAATTTTGTGAAGACGTCTCATTATTTTAACTCTATAGCAATTGTTATATGTTTTCTTTTCTTAAAGTGTCAGTGAATTTGCGTCATTGCTGCATTTTGATGAAGGGGGCGGTTTCATTTTTCAAATACCCTTCCGGTTAAATGACTCTTCTCAAAAGACAGTCCTTCAATGTGCTTCATATACACATATCTGAGTAACTCAACACAGTTGCCTTCGTCAGACTCTTTGCTGTAGAAAGTTTGAAATCAGTGCTTACGGTAAAAAAAAAAAGTCAACCGCTAAAACGAAAAAACTGGAATGTTAACCAAAATTGGGCGGATGAAGTTTAGTACGCTTGGGCGTGAATATGAATAAATGATTACAAAAATCGCAGTGTTTCCAAGAAATGGCCAAAGTTGGTTGCGTCAAATAAGATAGAACGTGATTCCTTCTTTGCTTGGTATAACGTGCTTAAAAAAGTAAAAGAAAAAAACACTTTTATGTAATTCAAACAGATACAATGAAAAATAGCAGGATTGACTCCGTCGCCCTTAATGGCAAACAGCCGTTGAAAATTAAGCCAAATCATGGCTGGATGATAATTCTCTGCGTAGGCGTGTGAAGAAACTCATGAATATGAACGAACAACCAGAGACACAGCTGGCTGAGCCAGAAGAACAACGAACTCGATTTCCTCTTTGCTAAGTATCTCTCCAACGTGAAAAAAAGAAATCAAAGCAGGAATACAAAAATGCACCGTTTGAAGCTCAATAACATGCTGCTAAGAGATTGCAAGGTTAAAAAATCGCTGAATTGTGCCGTGCACTTCACTGAGAGGTGATCCAACAGATGAAAAAAAAACTATTTAAGCACCTACTGTTAAGACTTGCTGCGCACACACACTCTAGCAAAAAAAAAACAAAAAAAAACAAGAAAACTAATTTTGATTAACAATAGCGTACAAAGGCGGTTTTTTCTTTTCTTTTCAAGTCTAAAAATAAGAAGCCACCAAAGGTTCAATCGCTTCCAAATTTCATCAATGGTCATAACAAGAAACTTAGTAAGCTTTAGCTACAATGGCGCCACATTATGGAACAGTCTGCCATGCCATGTAAGGAACACAGAGTCTCTGGGGGTATTTAAACGTAAGATCAATGACATTCTTTAAGTCTAACGCACGGCACTCACGGAAAACAGCTTTTAGTGTTATATTATATAGTTTGAATTTTAAATATTCTAGTGTTTGTATTTTTTAGGCTGATGAATTGACCGTGTTTAAATAAAATTAATTTAAAAAAAAAAAAAAAGGGTAAAGAGCGTCAATCATGTATACTGTCTCAGTGAAAGAGAGCAGATCACGGTAGTTCAGAAATATGAAGCATCCATCTTAATTAACAAGGCGCATCGAGAGCCGTGAAAAGATCAGGGGATGACAAAGTAAAAACGTATATGCGAACTGGTTCGAAGCATTTGAATGCCATTGAAACCAAATCGCAAAATATAGCAATAGAGCAACATACTGCTGATACTTATCAAAAAAGAAAAATACGCCCACTGAAGTTGGACTCAATGCAAGAAGCAAATTTCCTTCAATACCAAGATACGTAAAGCCCAAAATTGTCCAGTGATAACCTGGAGTCAGCTTTGTTAAATGTTTCGACCTGGGGCATGCCTTCTTCAGCAGTAAACGGAGAGGCGATGACTAGAAGGGTAAATGCCGCCACATGTGGAAGAGGGATATGCTTGTCTGTAATGTGATTTCCTTTTTATTTTGCTTTGATGCAAAGTTTGGTCTCTTAACAACCAAAGTTTACAGTATTGTTTGGTGAAGTGTTTCCACGAGTTCTTAAAATCTGAAGAACAAGATTTCCAGAGCTTTAAGTCTCAAGGTCTTAATAGGTCTTAGTAGGTAAAAACAAGGCGACAGCCAGTCGCCCTGAGCAGGCTGTCTTTTTATGCCTGTGGTGAAATTTCTTCACCTCACCTCAGTAAATGCTTCGGAGGAAACGTTCATCTGCAATTATGCGTTTGCAATGTCTCATTTACAAACTGAAGAAGAAATAAACAAGCCTTACACATGTAAAGGCAAGTTCATCAAATTGAACTTCAACTTGTACCACCAAGGTTTTATATACTACAGGCAAAAACGGTAGAAAACAAATATCTGAAATTAGCTCAGTAGCTTACAATTAAGGACCATACCGTGTTGTTATCAGCATCAGTCGGAACAAAGCTCATGACGGCATGCCTGAAGTGAGACCCTTCCACTAAAAACAACCACTGCACGAACACCAGTAAGCAAAGAAGGCGCGTGAAAGTATAAGGTGTCATCTTGGGTAGCCTTCCGTTTCGATTGACCCACTCCAAAAAAGAAATTGTGATATAGCTGCTAAACTAATTTCACCAGGCACGCTAGGCATGAGCTTAAGTTATAGCATGTCAATTAAGATTACTCAGGCGTATCCAAGGTAATCAAAGGCCTCGAAGCCATTCAATAAATACATTACTTTTTCTTGATAAAGTAGGGATGCAATTGTTTATTCATTTAATGTTTTGTCATGTTATTAAAGTATAGCAGTTTAAGGCACAATCAAAATCATTTACCAAACGTGGGCTCATTAACCCTTTAACTCCCAAGATCTCATTAGTAATTCTTCTTACTGTCTGCCTTACCGTTCTTGTAATGTTAGTTCGGAGAATTTGGTATTAACTCAACTTTTAATCCTCTAACAAATATTTTTTCATTCTCATCACCAGTCTCCTTGATACTTTATTGAAATTGTAAGGAGAAATTCTGTCTTGGTCACCTATGGGAGCTAAAGGGTTAACTACTTCAATACACTTGGAATGAATTTAGTTACTTTAGCATGAAACCTCAGAGTAGGTCTGGTAACTACCGAGTCGAGTCATTTCTTGCATAACAACACATTAGGTGGTTATTACAACTCATATTTTACTTCTGTTCAAACATGAGTGAAGAAAGCTTGTGATACATATATTTCACAACCCAAGAGAATACAATAAAGGTTGTTTGGCGCACGTGCATAGCAATCACTTCTTTTCTTTTCATGGCGTAGGCATTAATTACATGCCTAGTAGGTGGGAACATTGTTGTCACAGTTTGAAAAGTCATATTTATTAGCCTCAGAAAGCACGTTTTAATTTCAACTAAGCATAACTCAGGAGTTTTGTGACCGTCATTTTCAAGAGTCTTGAAATCCTAGAAAACACGTAACTAACTTGTTCCCTAAAAAAATTATATTTTTGGAATATGAAAAGCTAACTGCACCTGGTGCATACTGCAAGACAATATATCTACTTGAGACGAGCGCCTCCTGTGATTTGTCTAAAGATAGGCTTTAGAGTGGGGGAAATCAGGGAAAAAATGGTATCTAGCAATGCATAGCTCGATCGAAAAAACTAACGCAATCACTAAGTGTAAGTCTAAACCACCAGACTGTGAATTCACACCTTGTTTTCGTTCAATTTATCACGATTCTAATGAGCTGTTTTTAAGACCCCACTTCTAGAAAGGTAAAGACTTAAGAGAAACTCGCATAGTCAGGCAGTTGTAATGAGACATGCAAATTGTACACCCAACGTACAATGCAGAACGTTCTTCAAAAGTTCGTTTAAATTTATTTCACTTTTTAGAGTATGTAAGAAGTCTGGAAATGGACACAGCTGATTGGTCTTGACAAACAACATTCTTGAAGATGACTGATTTCCTTTGTGTTGTTGATTCAGGAAGTATTTTTATAAACACCTAACAGCGTTTCAAACTTGCCTTTTGACCTGATATTTCTCTAATTGTCCCGAAAACAAGACTTTATCACGAAACCTACAAAATATAATTAACTTCTTTTACGTTGAAAGCGTCTTCCTAAATATCGACAACCATGCACTCTCCCGTGCAATTTAAATTTATTTTCAAGCCAAGTGTAGACTCAGGGTGGGAAACAAAAATAGAAAACATGAAAACCCCCTTTGCATTATTTTTCAAGCTAGTGATTTCATGGTACTGATAATAGTTTCGCCATTACTTGATTGACTCATTGAATTGCTTTTTTTCTAAAATCTTTTCAAACATTCATTTCACTTCTCGAGCTTTCGATCAATTCGACGCTAGTTTCGTACATGTAAACTTTGGGTTTCCTTCTTCGTTTTCTTTTTTCCTTCTATCTTGGTTTATGAAATTTTAGGTATTATAAAGGTTCTTTAAGACAATGGATAAACTTAAGTTGCCAAGAAAATCTGGTCTTGAATAAATGCTAAATAGGCGCCTCCGGGATAAAATGTCAATACTACAGTAACACTCATTTCCTTACGTAGATGACGCCGATAAGGAAAAAAACGAACACTGTGTACTAACCTTCTTCTTCAATAATTTTTGGCGCAAATTGATTAGTAGGTCATTTGCATTAGTTTACCCAAGGATACTTTTATTTGTAGCAGATAATTTGAAAGTGTCCGTCGGTTGAGTCATATGCAAGTACTGCATTTTCCGTCTTTTTATCACGGACAACGAAACTGTGGCATGTAATAAGCCATCAAGGTGAAGCGCGCTACCTACCTAGGATGCTTAATGATTACAAGCGCAGTAAAATCGATCATTTGAATTCGACTCTGGAATGCTACATGTGGTGTCTTTGTCCTAATATACTAAACAACTCGCGTCATAACAACGACATGTTTTTAATCGTTTGACCTCTCGAGACCACATGCTCCTACTACATATCCTATAATAATAAAAACAGTCAGAATGAACATACGGGACACTACTAAATATACCAATATACTAAACAACTCGCGTCATAACAACTACATGTTTTTAAACGTTTGACCCCTAAAGACCACATGCTCCTACTACATATCCAATAATAATAAAAACAGTCACAATAATCATACGGGACACTACACTACAAGTACTGATTAAGCTAAAGAATCAACAGAATTGGTGATAAACTGTTAATTGGTGATACATTTATGTACCTAGACCGTGTACATCAATCCTTCGCTCGGGGACAAAGTGTTGGCTGAGAGAATTTGTTTTGGAAAAGGCTTGATCTTCTTGATTAGATTGTAAAATATGTAAAACCTTCATTGCAGTGCAAGAGATAAATCTTTTCATGAAGAAACCCTCCCCTTGCCTCATACCTGCTCCCATATGTTTTCCAGTTTTTTTGGTACTATTGAATTCAGGAAGAGCTTATTGTAAGCCCAAATAGGGGGAGGTATCAATATACTTTGAGCTTAATTAAGAGAATTTGGTATTGGATCAACTAATAATCCTCTTGTTGATATTTTTCTTCATTCTTATCACTTGTTGGCTTGATATTGTATTGACATGGTAAGGAAAAATCCTGTCATGATCACTCATGGGAGTGAAAGGGTTAAGTAATGATTACAGTTCCTATTTTTTAGTATTTGGTTATTTAAAACGCTGCATTGAATTTTACCCACCCATCCTGAATAATGCTGCATTCTGACTATGAATGAAAACCTGAACCATTGGTAGCCTTGCAGTTAAGTGCCATTACCACCAGGTCAGCACTGGACTCCACACTATACCTGTACTAGATACATGTCGTCATTGAGAGTCACATGCACAGAGTAGAAGGTGAGAAGTGTCGCATATGCAAAGCTTCTTTAGATTTCAAACCTGACGGTGAGGTTACCTGGCCTTTTTGAAAATGAGCATTTATTTAGAGACATGATAGTCATGCATGAATAAATGAAATGGGAAAGGTGGTTGAGCCGTTGTAAGTAATTAAGGTGGCCTCTCCCACAAGGACATTGGTTTGTTAAGCTCTCATTGCCTCATTAGCGGAGCTCGCAGCGCGCACAGCATAGCACCATAATCAAAAAAGGAAATAGAGATAACCTATCAAGCCGAAAAAAATTTCGACTTACGACCGTACGACCGACCGTACAAAGTGCTACCGACAGCATTCGCAGCCAACTACATTGCACGCACTATCTAAGCCGTTATCAACGAAGAGAAGCGAACTAAAAAGGATCCAATAAAGAAGAGGAGGTAAGTCGTGTCTTATCTGGGTTTTCTCTTACGCTAAGGCCCAGAAAAATTCAAACCTCTTTTTACCAATCGTCGTTTGATACTAGCTTCAGTTTATAATTCAAATCACGTTTCGGGAAAACAACGACTTTGGCATTCATTGCTTTAAAACCTTTGCGCCGGTTCATTACTCGAATAACTTTTAAAGTGTTCGTATTCTTTAAGTTATTTCTTTTCCTATCTTTGGAATGTTTAATACAGCCGTGTTGTTATGGGAAAAGAAGTTGTCTTACGGAGTATGTTTTACTTGGAAAGTTTTCAAATGATAGGGAACGGCGAGAGCAAGTTTCTATCATTCTCTCTTCACTTAACTATCGCAGTGTTTACTTTATTCATTTAATAAAATCGTGCTTTGTCGAAGATGTGTTGTTTTACCCTAAGAACGAAGTAATGGCCTTTCCCAAAATTGAAATAAAATGAGATTTAGATAGTCAGCGATGTTCATGTTTACATTACGTTTGACACGGTAATTTGATTTTGACAATATTGTCATGTGAGAACCCGTCAAACATCATGGAATTAAATTACCGACCGCAACTGTGTTGATCAAACAAACTCACGGGTAAAATGGTGTTAGTCCTACTGCATGAGGAGTGAATTTCATTGTTTGGTCGTGATACTATTCAGCGCTATGTTTTCATGCTTTCAACTCGACTCGTTCGAACTTCAAGAAACGGTTTGTATCGCAAAATGTGGAGCCACTTTTTCCTTCCTCATGCTTGCGATACAAAAATTTTTTCCTTATACTGGAAACAGATGAATCAATCTCTGAAATTGATAGTCATCATATTTTATTAGAAGCGCCCGAGCTCTGATTGTGTAATTAAATGGAGTAAGCGCATGGTTAGCGTAAATAATTGTTGTTTACAATTTTCGAATGCAAAAGCAGTTTTTGAGAGATTGTTTCTTTATCCTTCCTGGATATTTTCTGTTGAATTTTTTGAGTTACGATCTCGGAATTTCATGAGGGATTATGAACGATAAATTCGCATTGGCACCACAATTTCGGGAAGTTTGGAGAAAACACCGGCTACCAGTTTATAATTTGTGCACCATTTCTGTAACCTGCTTGGATATTTTTTTTGAATTAATTGAGTCACACCCTCGGAATTTCATTAGTAACTAAGAACGATAAATCCGTATATGTAGCACAAGTGAAATACATTTTAAACTTTCCATAAGATCTTAGGAAACTATACTTAATTGACTTTCGATAAATTGGCCTGGCATAACTCGTTGATTATTTTATTTCTTGTAGCCCCAAAAGCAACTTGACAAAGGAGGAAGGTTAAAATAAAATTGCTTTTGCGACTGTCTAATGCACCTGGTTTACAGATGTAGATAAGAGCACAAAAAATACCTATTATAGCTGTATTCAGAAGATAGACATGTAGGTAATATACTTCTGCTTTATTTTATCGTAACAGGTTTCTTTTTATGCAACGCATATCCATTCCTTTAATTTCCTCCCTAGTCTGCCGGCATGTGATTAAATTTTAAGTTTTAATTCAGTGTGAGAAGATAAAACAGAAGTGTTGCAGAGTTCTCTTTCTAGATTGAATT